AAAAATATGGCGTAAGTTCAATAATTAAAAACAAACACAGATTGGTGAGCATTTACAATGTAGGTAGGCTGGCATTTATGGTGAAATGATTAGCTAAACACTTGAGTGAGTTTTTAGGAGTGTCTTGAAAGAGACAATGTTATCAAGGGAGCACAGATTAACAGGGAGTTTATTCCAGAGCCWGGGGTCCACAGAGGAGAAWGYRTGGTCAYYMCAGGTCTTAAAGCGAGTGAAGGGAACCATAAGGAGATGTTGATCCTGTGAGCGGAGGTCCCGTCTGGGRTTGTAAGGGGAAATGAGACTTTTAATGTATTCAGGTGCTTGGCCATGAAGAGCTCTAAAAGTGAGGACCAGGATTTTGAACCGGATTCTGAATTGAACCAGAAGCCAGTGAAGTTCTGCTAGGATCGGGGAGATGTGGGTGAATTTRGAGGTTCAGGTTAGGAGTCTTGCTGCTGCGTTTTGGACAAGCTGAAGGCGATTTAACTGTTTCTGGTTAAGACAGGTGAACAGGCGTGTGACCGGGAGTCAGCGGCCTCGTGCCTGTTCTAAAAATACCGCTGATCAGCAGCGCAGCTACGAGCTAACGTAATGTCCCTTAACTTTTAAAAAAGTAACCAAAGTTGTTTGTGAACTCAAAACACCATAAATCCAGGCAGAATGATCCGCTGTAGGTTGAGCACACACCCCCTCTGTCACACACCATCGAGCCGAGACGCTTTCAGGAGCATTATCCCTTTAGGGCCCAGATTTAAAATGTGGTAACTAAATTATTTTCAGTGATTGAAAGAGTGATTTTGTAGTGATCTACAAGAGTTAAGAGTTCTTCTGAAGTGTTACAGCCGATAATATTTTCTTTTAAGCATGTTACAGAAGTAATAAGAAGCAGGTTTATTTTGAATAAACATAATAAATGTGTTCATTCCTACAAAACTGTCAAATATATTTACAAAATACACTAAACTGATTCAGATTAGCATAAAATAAGTAGTGTTTTATAATTAAATGTCTGTTTCTTCCATAAAGAAAAATCTTCCATCCATTCTTTCCTCCTTGTTCTTAATCAGGGTCAGGGTGGGAGCTGGATCTCAGATCTCAGACCATCACAGGG